CGATGATGTTTTGCCTGTGTGTGACTGTACATGTGATGATGATGCCTGCCTTTAGGATGATGTCCATATGTGGCGACTGATAGCTCAGAGTTGATACAAACGATTATGGTGTGCTGCCTGCCTGGACGATGATAGTGTGTTTTTGCCTGGACTGTCCATATGTGGCACCTGCCTGCTCAGAGTTGATACACCTGCTGCCTGCCTGAACCACGTGTGTGTGTGCTGTCTGCCTGGATATTGTTTTTAGGTGCTGTGCCTTATGTGGCACTGATAGCTCAGAGTGCCTACAAAAAACTTTTCCTTTTTGTGTGTGTACATGTTGATCTTTGTTTTTAGGACTGTCCATATGTGGCACTGATAGCTCTTCTTGATACAAAAAACTTTTGTCTTGTGTGTGTGTGGTGCATGTTGTATTGTTTTTAGTACTGTCCATATGTGGCACTGATAGCTCAGAGTTGATACAAAAAACTTTTGTACTTGTGTGTGTGTGTACATGCTTGATATTGTTTTTAGGACTGTCCATATGTGGCACTGATAGCTCAGAGTTGATACAAACGTGCTTTTGCCTTTTGTGTGTGTGTGCTGCATGCCTTGATATGATGTTTTGCTGCCTGCCTGTCCATATGTGGCACTGATAGCTGATGAGTTGATACAAAAAACTTTTCCTTGTGTGTGTGTACATGTTGATATTGTTTTTAGGACTGTCCATGATGTGGGCACTGATAGCTCAGAGTTGATACAAAAAACTTTTGCCTTGTGTGTGATGTACATGTTGATATTGCCTGGACGATGATGCTGTGCCATATGTGCTGCCTGCTGATAGCTGAGAGTTGATGACAAAAAACTGCCTGGATGATGATGTGTGTGCCTGCCTGGACGATGATGTTTTGTGCTGCCTGCCTGGATATGTGATGTGATAGCTCAGAGTTGATACAAAATGTGCCTCCTGCCTTGGACGATGACATGTGCTGCCTGCCTGGACGATCCATATGTGCTGCCTGCCTGGACGATGAGAGTTGCTGCCTGCCTGGACGATGATGTGTGCTGCCTGCATGTTGATATTGTTTTTAGGGCCTGTCCTGGACGATGACTGATAGCTCAGAGTTGATACAAAAAACTTTTCTGCCTGAAGGTGTGTGTGTACATGTTGATATTGTTTTTAGGGCTGTCCATATGTGGCACTGATAGCTCAGAGTTGATACAAAAAACTTTTGCTTGTGTGTGTGTACATGTTGATATTGTTTTTAGGCTGTCCATATGTGGCACTGATAGCTCAGAGTTGATACAAAAAACTTTTCTTGTGTGTGTGTGTACATGTTGATATTGTTTTTAGGGCTGTCCATATGTGGCACTGATAGCTCAGAGTTGATACAAAAAACTTTTCCTTGTGTGTGTGTGTACATGTTGATATTGTTTTTAGGGCTGTCCATATGTGGCACTGATAGCTCAGAGTTGATACAAAAAACTTTTCCTTGTGTGTGTGTACATGTTGATATTGTTTTTAGGACTGTCCATATGTGGCACTGATAGCTCAGAGTTGATACAAATAACTTTTCCTTGTGTGTGTGTGTACATGTTGATATTGTTTTTAGGACTGTCCATATGTGGCACTGATAGCTCAGAGTTGATACAAAAAACTTTTCCTTGTGTGTGTGCTTCCTGTACATGTTGATATTGTTTTTAGGACTGTCCATATGTGGCACTGATAGCTCAGAGTTGATACAAATAACTTTTCCTTGTGTGTGTGTGTACATGTTGATATTGTTTTTAGGACTGTCCATATGTGGCACTGATAGCTCAGAGTTGATACAAAAAACTTTTCCTTGTGTGTGTGTGTACATGTTGATATTGTTTTTAGGACTGTCCATATGTGGCACTGATAGCTCAGAGTTGATACAAAAAACTTTTCCTTGTGTGTGTGTACATGTTGATATTGTTTTTAGGACTGTCCATATGTGGCACTGATAGCTCAGAGTTGATACAAATAACTTTTCCTTGTGTGTGTGTACATGTTGATATTGTTTTTAGGACTGTCCATATGTGGCACTGATAGCTCAGAGTTGATACAAATAACTTTTCCTTGTGTGTGTGTGTACATGTTGATATTGTTTTTTAGGACTGTCCATATGTGGCACTGATAGCTCAGAGTTGATACAAAAAACTTTTCCTTGTGTGTGTGTACATGTTGATATTGTTTTTAGGACTGTCCATATGTGGCACTGATAGCTCAGAGTTGATACAAAAAACTTTTCCTTGTGTGTGTGTACATGTTGATATTGTTTTTAGGACTGTCCATATGTGGCACTGATAGCTCAGAGTTGATACAAAAAACTTTTCCTTGTGTGTGTGTGTACATGTTGATATTGTTTTTAGGACTGTCCATATGTGGCACTGATAGCTCAGAGTTGATACAAAAAACTTTTCCTTGTGTGTGTGTACATGTTGATATTGTTTTTAGGACTGTCCATATGTGGCACTGATAGCTCAGAGTTGATACAAAAAACTTTTCCTTGTGTGTGTGTACATGTTGATATTGTTTTTAGGACTGTCCATATGTGGCACTGATAGCTCAGAGTTGATACAAAAAACTTTTCCTTGTGTGTGTGTGTACATGTTGATATTGTTTTTAGGACTGTCCATATGTGGCACTGATAGCTCAGAGTTGATACAAATAACTTTTCCTTGTGTGTGTGTGTACATGTTGATATTGTTTTTAGGACTGTCCATATGTGGCACTGATAGCTCAGAGTTGATACAAAAAACTTTTCCTTGTGTGTATGTACATGTTGATATTGTTTTTAGGACTGTCCATATGTGGCACTGATAGCTCAGAGTTGATACAAAAAACTTTTCCTTGTGTGTGTGTACATGTTGATATTGTTTTTAGGACTGTCCATATGTGGCACTGATAGCTCAGAGTTGATACAAATAACTTTTCCTTGTGTGTGTGTACATGTTGATATTGTTTTTAGGACTGTCCATATGTGGCACTGATAGCTCAGAGTTGATACAAATAACTTTTCCTTGTGTGTGTGTACATGTTGATATTGTTTTTAGGACTGTCCATATGTGGCACTGATAGCTCAGAGTTGATACAAAAAACTTTTCCTTGTGTGTGTGTACATGTTGATATTGTTTTTAGGACTGTCCATATGTGGCACTGATAGCTCAGAGTTGATACAAAAAACTTTTCCTTGTGTGTGTGTACATGTTGATATTGTTTTTAGGACTGTCCATATGTGGCACTGATAGCTCAGAGTTGATACAAAAAACTTTTCCTTGTGTGTGTGTGTACATGTTGATATTGTTTTTAGGACTGTCCATATGTGGCACTGATAGCTCAGAGTTGATACAAAAAACTTTTCCTTGTGTGTGTGTACATGTTGATATTGTTTTTAGGACTGTCCATATGTGGCACTGATAGCTCAGAGTTGATACAAAAAACTTTTCCTTGTGTGTGTGTGTACATGTTGATATTGTTTTTAGGACTGTCCATATGTGGCACTGATAGCTCAGAGTTGATACAAAAAACTTTTCCTTGTGTGTGTGTACATGTTGATATTGTTTTTAGGACTGTCCATATGTGGCACTGATAGCTCAGAGTTGATACAAAAAACTTTTCCTTGTGTGTGTGTGTACCTGTTGATATTGTTTTTAGGACTGTCCATATGTGGCACTGATAGCTCAGAGTTGATACAAAAAACTTTTCCTTGTGTGTGTGTACATGTTGATATTGTTTTTAGGGCTGTCCATATGTGGCACTGATAGCTCAGAGTTGATACAAAAAACTTTTCCTTGTGTGTGTGTACATGTTGATATTGTTTTTAGGGCTGTCCATATGTGGCACTGATAGCTCAGAGTTGATACAAAAAACTTTTCCTTGTGTGTGTGTGTACATGTTGATATTGTTTTTAGGACTGTCCATATGTGGCACTGATAGCTCAGAGTTGATACAAAAAACTTTTCCTTGTGTGTGTGTGTGTGTGTGTGTGTGTGTACATGTTGATATTCCCTCCAGTGCTGCATGTTTATTGCAGTTAACAAAATAATTGAGCTTATCTAAATTATTATTGCAATTGACACAGTTGTTGTAATTAACATAATTATTATTGCAATTGACACAGTTGTTGTAATTAACATAATTATTATTGCAATTGACACAGTTGTTGTAATTAACATAATTATTATTGCAATTGACACAGTTGTTGTAATTAACATAATTATTATTGCAATTGACACAGTTGTTGTAATTAACATAATTATTATTGCAATTGACACAGTTGTTGTAATTAACATAATTATTATTGCAATTGACACAGTTGTTGTAATTAACATAATTATTATTGCAATTGACACAGTTGTTGTAATTAACATAATTATTATTGCAATTGACACAGTTGTTGTAATTAACATAATTATTATTGCAATTGACACAGTTGTTGTAATTAACATAATTATTATTGCGATTGACACAGTTGTTGTAATTAACATAATTATTATTGCGATTGACACAGTTGTTGTAATTAACATAATTATTATTGCGATTGACACAGTTGTTGTAATTAACATAATAATTATTATTGCGATTGACACAGTTGTTGTAATTAACATAATAATTATTATTGCAATTGACACAGTTGTTGTAATTAACATAATTATTATTGCAATTGACACAGTTGTTGTAATTAACATAATTATTATTGCAATTGACACAGTTGTTGTAATTAACATAATTATTATTGCAATTGACACAGTTGTTGTAATTAACATAATTATTATTGCAATTGACACAGTTGTTGTAATTAACATAATTATTATTGCAATTGACACAGTTGTTGTAATTAACATAATTATTATTGCAATTGACACAGTTGTTGTAATTAACATAATTATTATTGCAATTGACACAGTTGTTGTAATTAACATAATTATTATTGCAATTGACACAGTTGTTGTAATTAACATAATTATTATTGCAATTGACAGAAAGAAACCCACACATGTGTGGCGTGATTAAAGTTAAGGATTCAACTTTAAGAAAGATCAAGAATAAAATGGCTGCTTGTGCGTCCGATGTTGCTCTTGAGGATGTTATATTTTGTAAGTATGGGTATTGAAATCAATGGGGAACTAAGAAGAATTGATATTCGATAAGTCTGTTTTTATTTTGTTCTTCCATCCAGTTTTTTTTTTTTTTTCAGGTGAGAAGGCCACTGCAAAGTCTGTTTTTTTCACTCATCGTCATGTAGCATGTCATTTGGAGAACTTTGCTCTCATCACAATCTCTCTGAAAGAGATTGTTCTCTCACCAGAATCCCACTTCTAGAACTTTCCTGCCCAAACTGCCACTGATATCCTGTGCCCAGCTCCATGCTGGTCAGCCCCTGCCATTCTTTCCTGACACCATGTCTTATGCTGCTGTTCTTTCCTGACACCATGTCTTATGCTGCTGTTCTTTCCTGACACCATGTCTTATGCTGCTGTTCTTTCCAGTCTGTTGGGATGCTTGATATGGCCAAAATATTTCAGCTTCCAAGACAAGGTGCTGTTTACTGACCAGTCTTCCTTGATATTCAGATCTTATAGGGAGTCAGTATTTGTTTTCTTCATGGCTCATGGTATTCTGAGAATCTTTCTATAACATTTCAGGCCCTTTTTCTTCCTTAGTTAGTTAGTTGGGTTATCATCATTGCACTCCGGACATGTCAACAGGTGCTCAGATCCTCCCCTCAGTATGAACCCCAACGTCTGATGACTAATAGTACCAGTTCTATGTTGATTAACAAGTCGTCTGGTGTGCGTCTCATTTTTTGCTGTGCCGATCTTAATTCCCAAGTCTGCCATTCTGGCGAGGGATGTGGATTCATTGCCACCAAAGTCCTCTGTCCTTCCCATTTCTCTGATGGCATTAATAATATCAGCATGATATATATCAGCTGACCGTCGGTAGTGATAGCGGATCCAGCCAACCTGTCAGCTCTTTCATTTCCATTTTTAGAAATGTTTTTTTCTCTTCTTATTGACTGCAACTCACATCCATATGTTGCTACAGGCAAGGGGAGATAATCTACAACTGACATCTATATGTTGCTACAGGCAAGGGGAGATAATCTACAACTGACATCTATATGTTGCTACAGGCAAGGGGAGATAATCTACAACTGACATCTATATGTTGCTACAGGCAAGGGCAGATAATCTACAACTGACATCTATATGTTGCTACAGGCAAGGGGAGATAATCTACAACTGACATCTATATGTTGCTACAGGCAAGGGGAGATAATCTACAACTGACATCTATATGTTGCTACAGGCAAGGGGAGATAATCTACAACTGACATCTATATGTTGCTACAGGAAAGATGCATGCCCTCAACATTTTGCCCTTGGTTTCCTTGTTGGTACCTAACCATAGACTTTTATAGACAGTTTAATTTTTTCATTGCTGGGGCCATCCTCCTTTTGATTTCTGTGAGTCTCTGGTTATTGTGGAGCCTAGATATTAAAAGTTTGTGACATTTTCTTGTCTCTCCACTAGATTGTGATAACCTAAATATTCAAAGTTTGTGACATTTTCTTGTCTCTTTACTAGATTGTGATAACCTAGGTATTCAAAGTTTGTGACATTTTCTTGTCTCTCCACTAGATTGTGATAACCTAGGTTTTCAAAGTTTGTGACATGTTCTTGTCTCTTTACTAGATTGTGATAACCTAGGTATTTAAAGTTTGTGACATGTTCTTGTCTCTCCACTAGATTGCGATAACCTAGGTATGCAAAGTTTTTGACATGTTCTTGTCTCTCCACTAGATTGTGATAACCTAGATATTCAAAGTTTGTGACATGTTCTTGTCTCTCCACTAGATCGTGATAACCTAGATATTCAAAGTTTGTGACATGTTCTTGTCTTTCCACTAGATTGTGACAACCTAGGTATTCAAAGTTTGTGACATGTTCTTGTCTCTCCACTAGATTGTGATAACCTAGGTATTCAAAGTTTGTGACATCTTCTTGTCTCTCTACTATATTGTGATAACCTAGGTATTCAAAGTTTGTGACATGTCCTTGTCTCTCCACTAGATTGTGATAACCTAGGTATTCAAAGTTTGTGACATGTTCTTGTCTCTCCACTATATTGTGATAACCTAGGTATTCAAAGTTTGTGACATCTTCTTTTCTCTCCACTATATTGTGATAACCTAGGTATTCAAAGTTTGTGACATGTTCTTGTCTCTCCACTAGATTGTGATAACCTGGATATTCAAAGTTTGTGACATGTTCTTGTCTCTCCACTAGATTGTGATAACCTAGATATTCAAAGTTTGTGACATTTTCTTGTCTCTCTACTAGATTGTGATAACCTAGATATTCAAAGTTTGTGACATGTTCTTGTCTCTCTACTAGATTGCGATAACCTAGATATTCAAAGTTTGTGACATGTTCTTGTCTCTCCACTAGATTGTGATAACCTAGGTATTCAAAGTTTGTGACATGTTCTTGTCTCTCCACTAGATTGTGATAACCTAGATATTTAAAGTTTGTGACATGTTCTTGTCTCTCTACTAGATTGTGATAACCTAGATATTCAAAGTTTGTGACATGTCCTTGTCTCTCTACTAGATTGCGATAACCTAGATATTCAAAGTTTGTGACATGTTCTTGTCTCTCCACTAGATTGTGATAACCTAGATATTTAAAGTTTGTGACATGTTCTTGTCTCTCTACTAGATTGTGATAACCTAGATATTCAAAGTTTGTGACATGTCCTTGTCTCTCTACTAGATTGCGATAACCTAGATATTCAAAGTTTGTGACATGTTCTTGTCTCTCCACTAGATTGTGATAACCTAGATATTCAAAGTTTGTGACATGTTCTTGTCTCTCCACTAGATTGTGATAACCTAGATATTCAAAGTTGTGACATTTTCTTGTCTCTCCACTAGATTGTGATAAATGTCAGATGAAATACGAGGGAGCCTGCCCCCAGCATGGACCACCCAGCTGTGTTGATGAAGCTCAGGTAACGGTTGGTTGTCATAACTAGAGTTCATATGCCCTTAATCCCATAGTGTTCCATTGTGCTAGAGGCAGGTATGGGAATCACATGCCCTTACTCCTATAGTGTTCCATTGTGGTAGAGAGAGGTATGAGAATCACATGCCCTTACTCCCATAGTGTTCCACTGTGCTAGAGGCAGGGATGGCAATCATATGCCCCCTGTGGCTTAGCACCAGGAAATGTGATGGTGATTATATTGGCCAAAGAGGACCCATTGGGAAACAGGACCTGCATCCATGTTACAACAAGAGGAAAAGACACTGATCAAGCAATCAGGGGAGGAAGCACAAAATGTTGGAGATTCATTGTGGTGAATTCCTTGTTTGGGTGGGGGGGGGGGGGGGGGGGGGGAATAGACCCACTGCCTCCCTAGCAATCATGTCTTAAAAGGTGATCAATTAGTGATGTTTCCTTTGAAGTCAGATTGTCTCTGCCTGAGAGGCAAGGAACCAACAGTCTGCATACAGATAAATTGGATCTGTAAAACAGATATGTGCTAAATTCAAGTTGTGGAATAAGGCCAAAGTCCAGAAGTAGGTGAGCAACCAGGACCTTCCACTTGAGTTTACTGCCAATGAACCCAAAAATATTTGTCGCTGACCTTTGTTATGGAGACACTACTTGGTTGATTGTCAAGCTTGTGACGTAGCCTTTTATGTCACTGTATTTCTTCATCTCCAGCATTCCAAACCCTTGAGGTTTATTACTGCAGGTATTGTCCACCTGCTTCCATCTTTCTGATAGGCCTTCTCTTTCCATTGATGACTCTAAGTGATTGCAGGTTAGGGTGTAACTTAGCTGTCATCTGAGTCTTCTCCCATTCAGCTGTTTTGTGTACATTTTGTGTCTCTCTGTTATCCCTTGTATAACCAACTACAATAAGAATTAATGAATATTCACTGTCTGTTGCTTTAAAAATAATTCTTTTATAATCAGAATTATTTCATAGTTCCTCCTTCTCTTCTTCTTCTTCTTCAACAATCCAAGGCCTTGAGTTTCACTGTTTCCAGACATCACCAGCCTCCATTCATCTCCATGACTGCCTCTCTCTTTCCATTTTGTGAACCCAAGTTTTTTTTTAACTTACCTGTAAATCATCTCTTAATCATTTTCTTGTCACCTTGTGGTCTTCTCCCATTCAGCTGTTTTGATTTTCTCCCATTCAGCTGTTTTGGTTATTAATTCTTCATTAAACAGATTATAACCAGCATATTCATACCAACACTATGCTACCCAACTTGGACATTATCAAAGGCTAACCTGGGTAAAATTAATAGCTGTGAAATGAGATGCCTAAGGAAAGTCGCCAACTTAACCATCCGAGACAAAATGAGAAATGATACTATCTGTGGATCAGTATCGTGCAACAAGTTCATTGAGAAACATAATATCAGTTGGTTTGGTCATCTCAATAGAATGCATCCAGAACAACTAGCAACACAGGCACCTACACATGAATGTAAGAGATTGCCTTAGGAGAAGATGGGTTGATGAATTTAAATACCTTCAGGAATGACAATACCCATTGCTGCCCATAAAGCAATGGATCACAGACTGTTGCTCCCCATGACACTTAAGAGCAAATGTGGATATTGATGATGACTGTTTTTATTGATTTGTATTCCTTTGTTTTAGGGCCCTCCTGTAGATGCCAGTGATCAGCATCAGGATGCCCTAATACAATCTGACAGCATTAACAGACGTGCCAAGGATATACAGGCTGACAGTGAATCCAAGCTACACTGTGATAATTTTCTCTTGAAAGAAGGTCAGTTAGATATTAACCCTGTCACTCTAAGAAACACTGGGGTGGGGGGGGGGGGGGGGGGGGGGGTGGGGGGGGGGGGGGGGGGGGGGGGGGGGGGGGGGGGGGGGGGGGGGGGGGGAGGGTGTTCTCAGCAATACCCCCACAATTCTTAACAGCACATCTTTACACTGGTAACTAATTAATTTTTTTTAAATGTATGGATTTACTATTTAATATCCCCCCCCCCCCCCCCCCCAATATAACAATGGAGCAAATCATTAGATTTCAATCCTTACACCTAACAATAAAATTATGCTATGACTCCTTGACCCTGTGACCTCATCACTACACGACTGCTAAAGTCAAGGAAATCCTCTTCCTGTTGATGGCTGTAAACTCTGTCGGAAGGTTCTGGTTATTCTGCCTCTTCTGGACTTGAGAATTGTTCTAGAATTTGAGTTGATAGCCTAGTCTTCTTTCTTTCTTCTTTGTGTTCACCAGCTGTAAACTCTGGCAGAAATTTCTGGTTGTTCATCCACTTCTGGTTTGCAGTCCTGTTACAGAACCTGAGTGTTGCATGTGCATGAGTTTTACAGATCTGACTCATTTGTATGCAGACTGCTGGTTCCATGCCTCTCAAGCAGATGCACTCTGACTTCGAGGAAAGCTCCCAATTAGTCGACTCTTACAACATGCTTTTGGGTAGGCAGTGGGTCTATTCTTGTTGTCCCTATAATAGGGCCCCAGAACCCACACGGGGCTATATAGCCTGGTGATTTTGGTAACAGGCATGGGGGAAAATGTAAGACCGCTATGATGTATATAAGGAGACACTCTATGCCTCACTTTGGGTGCTAGCAGGCTGTGGACTGGTTTTACGCATTCTAATACAAGACTCCTGCCACACGTCCTCATCGTGCACTATGGACATTGGCTCATTTCAGCCTGAACTGAGCTGGCAGGGAATCTCAGAGTTGGTGGCCCCGAGAGATGCAGTGTCCAGCAATCCTCCAGCTCTCATTAGTTCGTCCCCAAGGCAATGTGATAAAGTCTGTTGAACACCTATTTGGAACAGTGAAACCTGCTGGCTGAATAACCTAATATACGAAAAACCTTGGTTCAGATGTCTGTAGACCAAACAAGTTCTGTTGAATTGCTGAGTAGGCTCAAGTACCTGAGTCTTGTGTCCTACGGCACACAGCTTTAGCTAATATTTCTTTTAGTTACTGCCCTTGACAGCCCAGCTTTTTCTGGCTATTATTCATTTCCTGTATTCACATATGTGTCAGAGCTTCAACTAGCTAGACAGCTGTGTGGATTCCTCTTGGAGATACCACAGGTAAGTGAATTTGTATATTCTATGATTGTAACATTGTTTATTCATTGCCTGTGCTGATGAAAGCTTTCTAGCCATAAAAATCACTTGTCATTTATACTTCCAGATTTCCATACCTGTGTACTATGCCATCTTACATTCTGCAAGCGTGAGTACCTACACATGCACACGGAGATGATGCATAACGAGAAATATAAAGACCTTCTGGAAAATGCAGGTTTCTATAGTGTTCTTGAAGTACAGAAGAAACCAGAATGTCTTAAAGGTAACACCAGGACTAAGGTGAACGCTTCCAGTTCTGCTGTTGAGAGTTTGTTATCTGAATACCAGAAAGAAACAACGTATAACGGTCTTAGTTATGATTGTAAACTTGCTGTACAAAGTGAAGAGTATAGCAAGGAGCTGTATAAAACTTCTTTGGGAACCCCAATAGATGACCTGCAGAGTTGTAAAAGTGAGGTGGATGATGAAAGTTATGAAGGTCAGGCTGAGCTACTATCACATTTTGAAGTGAAATCTTTCAAATGTGATATTTGTGGGAAGGGGTTTAATTGTGATAGTCGATTAGAAGAGCATAGACAGATCCACTCGGGACAGACGCCATACTCTTGCGGAGAGTGCGACTTGGTGTTTGTTAATTATAGTTACTATCTGGCTCATAAGACTGTGCATACAGGTTCAACACCATACAAGTGTGATGTTTGTGGCAGGGGTTTTTCATACAGTAGTTGTCTGTATAGGCACAGAAAGTTACACAAGGGTGTAAAACCGTACAAGTGTGATATCTGTGGTATAGGGTTCGCTGCCAATGACACTCTCCAGAGTCATGTAAGGATCCACACAGGGGAGAAGCCATACATCTGCGACATTTGTGACAAAGGATTCACCCAAAGCAGCAACCTGCAGCGTCACATGAGGAAGCATACTGGGGAGAAGCCGTACAAGTGTGATATTTGTGGGGTGGAGTTTGGATACAGCAATCTCCTACAGAGGCATGTGAGATTACACACGGGGGAGAAGCCGTACAAGTGTGAGGTTTGTGGGGTGGGTTTCACTTGTTTGAATTACCTGCAGAATCACAAGAACGTTCATACCAGAGTGAAACCGTATAAGTGTGAAGTCTGTGGCAAGGAGTTTAAACAGCTGGCCAGTGCAAACAAACACAGACGACAGCATCCAGAAATTGAAGAATCTTCCCTTCTGCCAATGGAATCTTGATTGGGGTGTCTTACTAGAAAACTACATTGTGGTGAATTGATGCATGACCAGCTAAATGTTGTAAGAGCCCTTGGGGAGAGAGTGAGCTGTGCAGAAGCAAAGGCAAACCAACACAGCCTGAAGAGAATGGAGCTGTGAGGGGTTACCAGGGGATCTGGGTGATGATCAGCACTCATGGGAAAGGTGAGACGGACATACATTCAGACTGCTACTGATACCATTGGAATTGGAACTCTGTGCTTGCTGCTGAAAAAAAAAATTCTGCATGCTGGGATGTCAATTCTTGATTAAATATGAAACAAGAAAACTTCATTCAGGGGTTAGAGAATCTTGTTTTCTGAGGTCTCAGATAGGATGTTAGACGTAGAAATTATCCTCAAATGTAAACATCTTCCATTCTGCTCATGGGGGTCGTGATTAGAATGTGATGGAAGGTGTCAGTGGGAATTGTCATATGTTATGTATACTCATTGCTGTTGTATGGTGCAGAAACCTGGAGACCAACTAATCCAACTTAATCTCTAGAGATATGTATATACAGAAGAAAAGGTCTTATTTCACGGAAACAGTAACTCGAATACAGAAGTTTTGAAGAGACTAGGAATGAAAAGAACTGCTGAAGGGAAATTTAAAAAAAACAAATGAAATGTTTCAGCCATTTTAAAAGACACAACATACATCAAAACCATACTGGATGGCAACATGGAAGGCAAGTGAGCAGACAGCAATACAGATTAGAGGATAACACCAAGATATGAACTTGCAGCTGTTACTTCTTCTTTACATTTACTGACTGTAAACTCTGGCAGAAAGTTCTGGTTGTTTGTCCACTTCTAGACTTCGATCTTGTTCCAGAAAAGAGTTTTCTTTTGTGTGCACATCTGTTTTACAGATCTGGTGTATTTGTATGTAGACTTGGTTCCTCACCTCTCAAGAAGATGCACTCCAACTTTGATGGAAGCAGCTTTAATTAGTTGACTTTTATGAAGTGCTTGTTAGAGGGCAGTTGGTCTATTCTTAACTTCCCCTACAATGGAATCCCAGGACACACACGGGAAGTACAGCAGTTTGGGAGAGTATAAATGCAGGACAAAGAGACAGAAGCATATTGGAGTGCCATTGCAGCCGACCTTCATTGTGGAGGTGGCACCTCATTGATTGAGCTGTAGTATCACCTGAAAACAAAGGTTGCTGTATTGTCTGATTGGGTGGCAATGTGACGTCTGCAACTTGTACTCATCACATTCTCTCTGTGTGTGTTCCAACACCCCATTAGGTGCATTTCCTTCAAAGCCTGAGTGCATCTGCTTGGCAGGTGAACCAACAGTCTACACTCAAGTTCTGGAACAAGACTGCATGTAAAATGGAACAAGGCTGCATGTAAAATGGAACAAGGCTGCATGTAAAATGGAACAAGACTGCATGTAAAATGGAACAAGGCTGCATGTAAAATGGAACAAGACTGCATGTAAAATGGAACAAGGCTGCATGTAAAATGGAACAAGACTGCATGTAAAATGGAACAAGACTGCATGTAAAATGGAACAAGGCTGCATGTAAAATGGAACAAGACTGCATGTAAAATGGAACAAGACTGCATGTAAAATGGAACAAGACTGCATGTAAAATGGAACAAGTCTAGGGAGGAGAAGATTTCCAGCTGTTTCTTTTTCTGGATCTGCCCTGAACACTCCACATGCATCTTGCCTGCAGATCCTGTTTGTAACTGGGTTACGGGATATTTCTCATGTTCTTTGCAGCAATAATAAATCCATTGCCACTTGCTACGTCGGTCACCAGAGCCCCATTAGCCAGGATATGTGTCGTAGCGGCACAAGGCTTCGTCCAGTCCTAAGTGTGCCTGGGTTTGATTTTCTGTTTACCACCTCTTACAACCTGTGGCTGGGCCATTTCACAATCAGTCCTGCTAACAAATTTTCAGGACACCGTGGAACAAGAAGAAGGAAAATACTGACATTCTACAAGATCTGAGTATCAAGGAGGACTTTCTCATCAACAGACCTCGGAAACTGAAATATTTTAATCCCTACAGTGGTTTAAAAACTAATAATGGACTACAAGCAAATTACAGATGAGACTATTTTCCTTACATTTCTGTTATTTCTGGAAAATAACAGGCTATTTTTTTAATTTCTGTTTAAAAACTCAAAATATGAGATTGATTCCCTCTAGGACTTCTTAAACCTGGAAAATTGCTGGTTTCCCTGCCGCTCCTATTTAAAACTGTAAAATTGTCATTCCCTTGTCATTTAATTCAAAACTGGGAGAATGAGATTAATTCTGCTGAATCTGTCACAGTAGGCATTGGTTCTCCCTTTGAGCCAATGTATACAACAGGTAATAATGTGATGAATGTATGTTTTATATCGCGTATACATTCAAAGAACGTAAATATTTTATGACAGTATATTTGTTGTGACGTGTACAACTTTGATCATTGTAACAA